GAGGCAGCGCAACTCTTACACTCATTAGAGCTAAGCGAAACTAATTATGACGTCGCGATTGAACTTTTAAAAGAGCGTTTTGAAAACAAAAAAATGTTAATTCACAATCATATGAAAAATCTTTTTGATTTAGCTCCGGTGCCTAGGGAGTCGCACTTAGCAACACGTAAGCTAATCGATACGATTCAGCGAAATACTCGCGCGCTACAAAATTTAAATGAACCGGTAAATCATTGGGACACTCCAATAATATTCGTTACAATAAGCAAATTAGATAATCAAACTCGCAAAGAGTGGGAAGCTTCCACTACCAAGATAACAAGTCCGAAACTAGAAGATTTATTGAATTTTCTTAAAAATAAATGTCAATTATTAGAAACAATAGACAATAAATCTGCTAGGAAGGACAAAACGCATTCTCACGTTGTAACTAATAACGAAAATCATTCAAACCAATCCAAATTTAAATTCAGATGCTCTTTTTGTAAACAGGACACGCATGTCACATATAGGTGTCGCAAATTGCTTGCCATGTCAATTAAAAAGAGATTAAGCGAATTAAAAAGGGCTCAACTATGCACAAACTGCTTCCAAATCGGCCACAAAGCGGATGATTGCAGGGGAAAAACATGTCAAATTTGCAATAAACGCCATAACACCATGTTGCATGATCCTGACTTTAAACTCGAAATCAAAATAAATGAAAATGTCAAAAACAACGAAATACAAATCGATAATATAAGCGAAGACAAAACGGTCGCCTTAACATCCAATTTTTATTTGTCAAATAAAAATCAGGTATTATTAGCCACCGCAGTTATTAAAGTTCTTGACAGCGACAATAAATTTATTTCCTGTCGGGCGCTATTAGATTCAGGGAGTCAATCTAACTTTTGTACTAAAGAATTTTTTGAGTGACTTAAGTTACCAGGGAAACGTTTGGACTTGTCAATTTCAGGTATAAACGGATCACCCTCCAACATCTGTTTTCAAGTGGATACGCAGTTAATTTCTACTGACAATAAATAGCAGGCATCGTTGCCACTTCTAGTTGTCGACCAGATAACATCTGAATTGCCACAATATTCTTTCGATGTTACTAGACTAAGTATTCCAAGCCATTTACATTTAGCTGATGATTGCTTTAACATTTCGCAAGGCATTGATGTTTTACTCGGCGCAACTATATTTTTTGACATTTTAAATTATGGTCAAATGAAACTGGGAAAGAAAAATCCCATATTGCAAAATACAAAACTTGGATGGGTGTTAGCTGGTCCAATGCAATGTAACGGCTTTGACAATAAATCGGATAGTAAATGTTTTCTTAATGTTGACAAGTTAAGTCGACAAATTGAAAAGTTTTGGCAACTCGAAAACGTCGATAATCCATATTCAAAACTGTCTAACGAGGAACTCGATTGTGAAATCCATTTCCGTGAAAATACGCGAGTCAATTCGAATAGACAATACGAGCTAAAATTACCACTGAAAGATTCTTATGTCGAATTAGGTCAATCACTGCCGACGGCGATTAAACGTTTACCTTTTCTTGAAAAGCGGCTAGCCAGGGCACCCGACACAAAGGCTCGGTATATTTCCTTTTTACGGGAGTATGAAAAAATGGGTCACATGACTCGCTTAACTGAAAGGGAAATAAATGAACCCGCCTTATCATATTATATTCCACATCATGTAGTTTTTAAGGATCAAAGTTGCACCACCCGCGCTCGCGTAGTTTTCGATGCCTCGTGCGTTACCTCAACAGGCTTAAGTTTAAACGAAGTAATGAAATTAGGGCCGAAGGTGCAGAGTGATTTATTTGATATTATTGTCCGAATGCGTACTCAGAAGATAGCTCTTACGGCGGAGATCGAAAAAATGTATCGGATGGTTTTAGTAAACAAAATTCATAGACCTTTGCAAAGAATTATTTGGCGCGAGAATCCCTAGCACGAAATAGCTCATTTTAATTTAAATACGATTACATATGGACTAAAAAGTTCAAGTTTTTTAGCAACGCGTACGCTTAATGAGATCGGGAGAAATTCAACACATCCAAAAATCCGAAAAATCATAATTTAAGATTTTTATATTGACGATCTTATTTCGGGCGCAGAAAATGTTTCTGACGCGATAAAACTTAAGAAAAATGTTTCGGTTACCTTGTTAAAATCAGGTTTTAATTTACGTAAGTGGAGATCGAATGATCTAAGTGTTCTAGAAAATGATAATTTTAACACAAATTCAGAATTTTGCATAAGGAGCAGCGAGGAGACCAAAACTCTAGGGGTTATTTGGGATCCGATTAGTGATACGCTTTGTTATGCTTTTAATTTATCTATTAAAGCCGATCTAATTACAAAGCGAAGTATACTTTCCGGTGTTGCACAATTATTCGATCCTTTAGGCCTCATTAACCCGTGTGTGGTGAAGGCAAAATTAATTCTACAACAACTTTGGCAAATCCAAGCAGATTGGGATTCCGAAGTACCGCAAGGCATAAAAGAAAATTGGTCAAATTTTTTGGAAAATTTGCACTCGTTGAATAACATAAGGATTGATCGCAAAATTTTTAGCCCGGACTACACTAAAATTACTTTACACGGTTTCTGCGATTCATCCATGCACGCGTACGGCGCATGCATCTATGCATTGTCCGAAAATTCCTATGGGGAAAGAAAATCAAATTTAATTTGTGCAAAATCGAAACTTGCACCTTTAAAAACACAAACACTACCTAGACTAGAATTATCAAGCGCATTACTTTTATCCCAGTTAATGTCGAAAGTAGTACGAATTTTACGAGTCCCAATTTCCTCAGTTACCTGTTGGACAGATTCTATGATAACACTTTCATGGATTAATTCGGAACCGAACAAGTGGAAAACATTTGTTTCGAATCGGGTTTCGGAAATACAAATATTAAGTGAAAATTCATCGTGGAAACACATTGAATCGGAAAATAACCCAGCTGATATTATTTCACGTGGTTTAAACCGACTTACCTGAGGCGCGAAAAGAAAACATCATTTTATCTTTTACTTTATTAAATAATCTTGACTTAATAGAACGTTTTTCAACTTATCGAAAATTGATTCGTATCACCGCATATGTATTGCGATTTGGCTACAATTTAAGGCACAAAAATGCAAGGCGATTTAATACACTGCTTCAATGTGAGCTTGACAATGCAATTACCAAATTATGTATCAATATTCAGCATCAAGTTTTTCAGACGGAAATTAAATGTTTAAATTCAAATCAAAGCATTCCAAAAGGCAGCACAAGTTGCTTGCTTTAAGTCCATTTATCGACGAAATTGGTTTACTGCGCGTAGGAGGACGTTTGAAAAATTCTCATCTTGCTTTTAATCATAAGCATCCAATTGTTTTGCCCAGCAAACATCATTTTACTAGGCCTGTAATTGAACAATATCACAGAAAATATTTACACGCTGGTACCCAATTTATTCTCGCGCAAATAAGAGAGAATTTTTGGCCGCTGAACGCAAAAAACCAGATCCGCAGCGTTTTGAGAAAATGCATGGTATGCTTTCGTGTAAAACCCTTTAATATAAGTCAACAAATGGGTTCATTGCCTCAACCTCGCGTTACTCCCTCTAGACCATTTACATTCACCGGAATTGATCTAGCTGGACCTTATTTTACTAAGGCATCCAAAACTCGAACAAAAATTTTGATCAAAACTTACTTGACGGTGTTTGTTTGTTTGTCATCAAAAGCGGTTCACATAGAGATAATTACAGATCTTACTTCTGAAGCCTTTATGGACGCGTTTAAGCGTTTCGTATCCCGTCGAGGACTTCCAAAGCATCTTTTCAGCGATAACGCTAAAAACTTTGTGGGTACGAATAACATTTTTCACAAATTCTACGAAAGCGTTGCTCAAACTGCTAACAATGAAACTCAAAGTAATTATTTCTTGGAAAATCGCATTACTTGGTGGCATTTTATACCGGCGAGATCTCCGCATCACGGTGGAATTTGGGAATCCGCTATAAAGTCATTTAAGAATCATTTACAAAAGGTAATTGGTGAAACAAAGTTAAATTACGAACAACTATATACAGTCGTTGTACAAATTGAAGCTATCTTAAATTCGAGACCTCTCCTTCCCTTATCAAGTGATCCCACGGACCTACAATCTCTGACGCCAGGGCACCTATTAATAGGTGGAAATTTATTAGCCACACCTCAACATGACGTAACCGAAATTCCCAGCAATCGTTTGAAAAATTTCCATCAGTTGCAGCAATTGGTTCAAAATTTTTGGAAGCTTTGGAGTCATTCCTACCTCCATACTTTGCCATACGCACAAGGAATGGGATAGTCAAGCGGTCAATCAACAAGATATGCCCGTTACCCGTGGACGAGATCAATACTTCTGCGCTTTGAAGTCCGCTGGACATTTCAAGGCCGGCGGGATGGTCAATCTTCAAAACTGCCCAGCAACGGCAACATCGCGAGCACCGTAAAAAAAAAGGTTGCCTGCAAAAAAGGGATCGGCGCTGCCGACACTTAAGAGAGACCGCGGGACGCTGGGTCTCGACATTTACAACCCGTGCTAGCAAACGTTAAGCTTCGTTATTCATTTTCATATGTTTTTTCCTTTTTTTGTTAGTTGTAAAAGTTTATTAAGTTGTAAAAGTTAAAAAATAAAGTTATCGAAAAATACAGTCCAGTCAATCGAACAAGAATCAGCGCAGCAAATAACGTGGACCTACGTTAAAACCCACCAATATTTAACCTCCTTATTTTCATTTTCCTAGGTTGACCTGTCACCTTTCGATATTACGTGGCAAAATACTATTAGTAGCGGCATTTCTCTTTTTATAACTCTTGTATAGTTTTTGTTATAAACAGACTGGGATCACACATTTCAACCAAATAACGACTGTTACGAATAAACGCAACAAAGACGGTAAAACATAACCTCCAAATACCATAGTTGCTTGAACTATCATATAGCATTTAGAGATGACAATTGACTTAAATTCCAAATTTTACCATGATTTTCCGCTATTTTTAGAGGAATTAAACAACAAAATAATTCGCTTTTGCAACATCGATACCGAGAACGAGGAACGGGTAAAGCTCTTAACGGCTTCGCGGTAAAACATTAAAATCGCTATCGGCAAACATCACCCGTCGCTTTTGAATATTCATAAGATGTAATAACTTATACGGGGGCCGATGCGAGCATCCAAATTTTTCGTTTCGGACGGTCAATTTCGTGTGGTAGTGCCGTCGAATACGCGCGTAATGCCTCAAAAGTCATCAATGCGACGTCGCTGATAGATTTCACTTTCCGCGTTGCCAAAATTTTGTAAATCTATTCGAATTTAAACTCCGTATTATATCCAACAAGTCGCGCCGAGGGAAAGGTCAACCGAGACACTTTCGATTGTCGACCGGTTCGAATAACTCTCTCTGTCGACGTACTGGTTTTGATCAAAAATGAAGTTACTAACGGCTACTTTTGTGATCCTCGCGGTGACTGCCATCGTGATTCACGGCGCGCCAGCCGAAAACAAGAGTTTGGGAGGAACCGAATCCAAATGTAAGTACATGCATTTCTTATTCTACATTTCTAAATATATATATATATATATATATATATATTTTTTTGCTCACAAAAACTCGACCGCCATACCTCACGAGTCGCTAAATCGCAGGTGATTTGATTGGTCACGTCTATAACGTGTCTAAACGTTTAAATTTTGTAGTATTTAATTCAATTTTGTTTTAAAAAGGGATGTCAGATTCGTTAACTCTTATTAAGTATTATTTTAGTAATTTTATGTGATGAAATAAATTGTATGAATAGTACAGTACCGCCTTTTTTCTTAGGTATCAGTTCATGTAATTCTAGTAAAATATATAATTCAAAACAAGTTATCGATAAACACAATAAAAATAATTCTCTACATAAGACCACCACTATGGTATCACTCTTCGCGTCACTTCAGTCACTAAAACGACCAATCAAAGCATGGCACGTAACTTGCGATTTAGCTGCTCGTCACAAATAAAGTTAACTTAAGCACTGCGCGGTAAGACAAAGATTTTTGGCACAAAACACAAACACAAAATATTACTGTTACTAGTTTTTTACGAGTGAATTTTGCTGTGCCAGTGCGTAGTTGTCTTGACCAACGAGCCATTTAAAAAAAAATCAAACTAGAGTTGCGTCAACAGGACGACCGATCGACCGACCGTACCAAAACAAATCGAATTCGTCGGAATACAATTAATTCATTTTAATGGTTTAAGATTTAAATGCATGACTGAGACAAGCCACGGAAAGGAAATGAGAGTATTGTTATAATTATTCTATAGTATTGAGTTGCGACATCGATTGGTAGATTTGCTTATATGTTGAATTGAATATTGAATGAAATATCTATTTCCACGCAGGTATTTAATTTGAACAAATTAATGTATTACTGGTACAACCCAATATGTAGCACGTATTTTGATAAAATCATGATTCAATAAAAAGCAGAACACAGCTAAATATTATACAAACTAGAACAGAAAACAACATATAGACACAGTAATAATTCATATTCAAATGAATCTGAATCGGGCGTTCGGACATTGCCGCTTATGTTGGCATCAGAAAGTATTGAAATGAACGATTGATTGAAATGATTCGGTCCTTTTCGAAATCGGTCATTGATTGATACGGTCCTCGTAAAATGAACGATTGACACAACACTAAATCAAACGGTAGCTGTGTTTAATAACTCAAATTTGTCAAGCTAACCTATCCTAGTTAATTTGTTTGTTTACTTTCGTTTGTTTTATTTCGGTTTTCGGTCGACAAAGTAAGACGCGTTTTATCGCTTTTATTAAGTGACGCCTATACTATGTTCCTAAAACTATGGTAATATAGGCCCGTACATGATTGTTCTAACCTAACAACAATGTAGTTCTTGGACAGCCCTTCGACGAAGTGGTTGTCGAGTCCACTCTGAACGTCAAAAGGAAATCTGACACCAGACAGTCGCGAAAGCAAGGCAGCGAAATCAAGAGAGCCAAAAGGCAACACGGGTGAGTAAGACAATGTTACTTGCGTTGCGCGGATAACTTGGGTTGCTATCTAGATCGAGAAATTCGTTTCCGTTTCCGAATTTCGAAGAAGGCAGCTCGGCCCAAGCGGCCGCTCAAGCGCAATCGCACCGGGCAGAGAGCCCTTTCGGGGCATTCGGCGCATCCGGTAAAATTTACGCTGTCCTGTCGTTACATTCGTTCTCCGCTAGATGCCGCTTTCTTTCCTCCCCGCATCTTCGTGTACTTTCCGCATCTTTACGTCACAGCTTCTTCTATACTTTGGTCTCTTGCCGCCCGCGTGTTACTCTACCTCACTATATTTTTATAGTCTGTGCTCTACCTCCTCAGTTCATTTCAACAATCGATTGGTTTGTTAGTTTTTGAAAGCGTGTTTTTTAGCTAGCGGCTCGCAAACTCAGTCTTTGAGTTTCGGTCCTGGCGGAGTCGTGGGTTCTGCTAGTTTTTCGGGCACTCAAAAATATATTTTGCCCAACGGGCAGACCTTGGACGTGTCGTTTGGAAACGCGGTAGGCGGTGCAGGTAACGTTTTTAAAGTATTTTTTGAAACGCGCAAGGGAAGTTTTCCGGGAAGAAGGATATTGCGTATCCCAATTATGTGCTTTGTTTTTTTTTTAATCAAATCAAATAAACCCCCTAAAGTGGTTAGTTGGTTATAACTTAAACCAACACCTTCTACATCACAAGACCGTGAAACTCTAAAGTCTGAGTCATCACATTAAGGAAGCGATATATTTGGTTGCATGGTGTCCATAATATCGAATATAGATGAAAGAGGATTAAAACACAATTTAATTGCTTCGTAAATATATATGAAATATGAACAGGTAACAGTTTCAGTTTTTTTAATGAATCATATTTTGTACCGGGTGATCATTTATAATGTCCATCCGCTTTCAACTTTTTTATTTAAGTATTATAAAATAAAATTTTCAGTGCACTTGAAGAGAAGTATTACCAAACCTTTTAAATAGAAATTTTATAATTATTTTTTTTAAATATAATTCTTTAGCGTTAAAGCTTAGATATCCTGTTCGTGCCATGGACATTTAATACAAAAGGTATTGCATCTGCAGGAGATATTGTAATGTTTGCGCTGAATAAAAACCACTTTTGATCAAACGAGGTGTTGATTAAAAAATGCTGGTTGTAACTCTTTCAGAACTTCGTATATCTTCAAATAAATAAGTTTAGACATCAGTGCTTTATGCACTTGTCTAAATGTACTATTTGCTAAATACTCACTGAAAAAATATATGCTGCTCCTTCCTTTCCAGGTTCTAATACTGTCGGTGGCGCCGTTGTGTCCGTGAAAGGACCCTTGCGTCATAGAAACTGACGGCCGTGGCGATTTAAATCCAGTCAACTTATTTTTATAATTGTTTATTTCCACTAAGCAGTCCAAAAAAATTCGTTATATTAAAACCTTAAAGAAATAGGCTTTCTGTTTTTATTTTTTGACCTTTGATTATCAGAAACAACGATCCCAATCTCTTGAGAAATTAACTCTATTAACTAGTCCCTCACTAAGATTTCGTTCGTCGAAGTGCGAACTTCGTCAAACGTAATTGTGTACCTTTTGTATTACGGAGGTCAGTGAACTTTTTGGAGTGTGTTGCTACCTAGATTTTTATAGTTTCGCACTAAAAACTGTGAAAACAAGTGGTGCCATAATGGATATTGCTGTTTAAGGTATGTATTTTTAATATTTTGAATTATTAATGTAATATACATTTCTTTTTTTTTAATGGCCCATCATTGCCCCCCCTTTTCTTTAAACGTTAATACATGTAAACTTTCAAATGCTTTACCTCTCGATAAGTCGCAAGTTGATGAAATGATCTACTTTAAAATCGAGTAAGATGCGATGTCGCCGGATGTGTCAAAAACAGTTATATTTTTATCCCTTCATGGTTAGCTTTAAATGCACGTATTTTCCAATAGCGCTATCAACTTAACGTTTTGATAAAAAAAAATATTTATATCATTTTCCTAGAGACAAAACAAACTTTAAGACACCTGGTACATATGCTATTTTTTGCACTTTTGAGCCCCGATTTATTAAGTTGTTAAGTTGTTTACAAATCTTTTCTTTTTATCAATTTTACACTAAAAAAATACATAAAAGAAAATGTACACAAAAAAACGTAGGGTTATTTTTTTTTCTTTTGTTGCAGATCAAATAGTCAAATGCCTTCACGAGGATGTACCTTTTTAATACTTGGTTAGCCAAGAAAACAGACAAAAATTCGGAAAAAATCCGTGAAATCTTAGCCGAGATGACAGCTACTTTGCACAATAGAGAGATCGAGACTACCAACTTGGAAAACCGTGTCTCCTATCTTTGTAGGAAGTTCAGTGAGGTGAGTATTGGAGGCAAACTTCTAGTTCTAGATCAAAACTAGTAGCTAAGCGCCAACCTATTCTGCTGGATGAAGTGGCAAAAATCCAGCAGGTCCCCGACGAACAAGAGCCGTCAACAAGCAAGCCAAAAAGATTTTTCAAATAGTTTGAAGAATGTAGTGAACGACCTAAACTCCGAAGATTGTGGGAGTTATCCAAAGTAGATAATTCTACAATTAAATATTTAAAAGAAGATCAGTCCAAAACCTCCAGTTCGCAGATCAATGCAGACGAAATACTCGCACTTTGAGTTGAAGTTAAGTTGACCAGGGATCAATATACATTAATTAAAGATTTTGTTAGTTCAGAAATGGCATCAAATGTCTTTTCTTCCTATCACAAAGTTCTGGAAAGAAAAAGTGCTATCCTTCGGATGAAAAAGCGTCAGAGACATCTGCAGAAGTTGAACTGCAGTGACTTCTGGATCACATGGCAACTGGAATTCTTGAGACACAAAAAGACGTTTTGTCAACTCTTCCACTCCAAGGAGACTTAATAGGAAAATGGGGGTTTGGTAGTAGTTCAGGGCATAGTGAATACAAGCAGAAATTTACTGATGCAAATACCAGCGATGAAAACCTGTTTGTGACATCCTATGTTCCTCTCCAACTAGTTTGTCGATCTGCAAATTCAGATAATGTAATTGTGTGGAAGAATCCGCGCCCCTCCTCCACTCAATTTTGTAGAATTATGCGATTTCAGTTTGCCAAGGAAACTAAAGAACTCTCTTTGCAAGAAGAAGCGTATTTTGAAGACAAAATTAAAAATTTGAAACCAACAATCTTTAAATAAAGGAAAAGTAAAGAAAAGATTCAACATTCTTTACAATTGGCAATGGTTGATGGACATACTTAGCGGAAACATCGTCAAGTAGGTGTTAATTTGCAATGCCACACCTAAAGAAATGAACGATATTGAGATATGTTTAAGCCAAAACTGTCGATACCCACAATTTTCATTTTGGTTTATCATCTCCTCTTCACTCATGGATTAGGTTTTTTGAATATTTTATACACCTTTCATACAAGCTAGACTTTAAAAAGTGACAAGCTAGATTGCAAAATGAAAAAATACTTCTTGCAGAGAGAAAAACGCGTATTCAAAAAGATTTTAGGGAAATTTGGGCTTAATTATAGATAAACCGAGAAGTGGAGGAAATGGGACATCAAACGATGGCAATACTTTGAGAAAAGATTTTTTACAAGTTATGAAGTTTCAACTGAAATAACTGTTTTGGATACGGATCTTATCAAACGATGTTGTATTCTTTTGCAGGCTTTGGGCTCTGTCTATAAAATTAATTCTATAAAATATCAGAATTACGGTTTAAAAACAGCAAAAGACCTTGTAAAAAATTATCCGTATTATTACCAACCTGCCTCCGTGCACAAAGTTCTCATGCATGGATCTAAAGTTATTGAAAATGCACTTCTATCAATAGGAGAACTTTTGGAAGAAGCAGAATCTTCAAATATTAAGTTAAGTAGACGTGAAACTACAAGAAAAATGTCTCGTGTTCTTACAAACACAGATCTTCTTCATCGAATGCTTTTAAATTCCGACCCTTTTATTTCTACTTTTAAAAAATTACCTAAAAGCAGTAAGTCTACTTTATTGCCTGAAGTTTTTGATTTATTGGAATTAGGATAACAGTTAAATCAATCAACACGACAACTCATTATAAAATGGTAACCCCGTACCTCTCTTTTTAATGATATAAAAGATCTGTTTCTAGTGAATTTTACTTTACAGTTGTATTACAAGTCTCATTATAAAATTATAAATGTTATTTAATCTCAATTCGGGAGTAATTAGCCATAGGCATAACCATAACGAGGGATCAGGAACAATTTATAATTATTATTTAGACTTAATTGTACCATATTCATTTAGTTTTCGCTTTTATGTGTTTTATTAATATAATGTGAATTTTTTTTGAAGGTATGTTTCCTGGTGATAATAAAATTTTACTTAAAAAAATAGTTTTTTTTTTAATTTATATTAAAGTTTAAAGATATGTATGTCTTGGAAAAGTTGAAATATGTACAAAAATCCCATATTTCAAATATCCCATTAGCGCGAGAATTTCATGACCGCTGTCCCATAAGACGGGACCACTGTGCAGCGTCTCCCATATAATTGGTGAAATAAAAAACTGGAAAATAATAAACAGTGTGTATTGGTGTGCATATGATCGTGGTGAAAGCATGTTTCAACGTAGGTCTAAATATTTACAATAATTCAACATTTATTTTACATTCATTATTTACACGATACTTAGATACTGTATACGTTCAAGGAGGGTAGTCTACGAAAACCGACCGTCTTCCGGGCAGGCAACAACGTACAAAAGTGTTGAGACAACTACCCGTCACCGACAAAGCCGGACACAGTTTCCATGCTTAATAATTTTAAACGCCTTGAGGCGCTGGCAATGATATGTAGCTACGAAGGATAAAATCCACGGTAGAAATAAAACGCTAATAGGGATGTCGATACCAATATTCCACGCAAATTATAGGGAAACATTTTTTTAAAAACAACCATTATCGACTTGTATTTAAATATTTTCAAAAATTGTCAGCGTAAATAAAGTGCAATACTGTGGCCAAATCACAAGTTAGTGTGGGCGAACTATTTTCGCACGTACTTATTCAATGGGGGAATGTTAGGCATTGACATACGCCTCCTTGTCAGCTCACCACGTGTGTTAAACGAGACAACCGCCAAAATAGTTTATCTTCGATTAATCATTCAAACCATTTTTCACTCTCAATATACAATATTGTAGTCTTAGATGTCAAATTTTTGGTAGTCATGTATTACGTACAAACGAATCCTGTTTATGCATATGGCTTTAATTTGAGGTTATAATTATGCTATGTGATTTATTTGATTCCATTTTCAACCATTGCATACTCATATGATGTGATCCAATGATGGCACGGTATGCCATCATAGAAA